CTGACTTTGTTAACACACATTGCGTAGGTTCACTAGTGCCTAAGGTTCCAAACACTACACCGATTACGCGACGACGGCGGCAGATCTATTTTTATTGTGGAAGCAGCAGTTGAACCTCGCAGTATGAACAGGCGACTTCGTCCAGGCGTCAGTTTATGACTATTGATAGAAATTAGGCACAATAGCTTATGACCCAAAACGTGAGTTATATTCCATTGCTATATGGCGAGACATTATAGGCGACAATGAACACATTTCGTGCGCTCTATCCACATCAACGCACATTACGACATTTCGGAGACATTTCGGCATCATACAGAAAGCATGCGACTAATCTGAAAAAATCGCCTTCTCATCTGACTTCGGATGTGCACAGAGCATGTACCCCTCTCTCACTTTACATAAACATCTGCACGTTTTGCAGGAGTACGAACAGCAAGTCGAACGTGCTCGGCCATGATACAATCGAGACTGTGACGGATGGCGTAAAGATCGAATTTGCTCAAATAAGCTTGCTGTTGATCACCAAAGTGACATAAAAACCAAAGCTGTACAGCGCTGTCACAGACACGCGAACATTGCGATCTTCATTTGTTACAATCAAAGCGACGAGATGGACACTGTAGTTTCGAGTATCGAGCGCCCACGGCTACGCAAACGTCTAAGCGTCGACTGGACCAAGTGAAATATGTTTACGAGTCCGAATGACATAGCGTAAACATTTTGAGCTACAAAAAACTCTGGCGTCGACCAGTGTACAGAACAAGTCGATTACGTTTGGATGACGCCGCTTGCCCAAGAATATTCACACACCTCTGACATCGCTGATCGAATGATCAAAAGCTTATGGAGAGGCTAAGACGATCTGGCAATATGTCAAACGACCACGAGGTTTGCTTTGACGCCGAGTTGTTATACAAACGAGCGCAACTCTGGTGTTCTAGCTTGAATGCGCACTCTACAATTCGATCTCAGTCGCATATAGAAATGTAGCGCAGAATCGACGCGAGAATGCGCATATAAAGGGATAATGTCATTACTTCTTGATTGATGCGTGTATACTCATATCCAATTTCTCATCGCCTGGTTCTTGCTTTGCTCGTCCAGGAACATGTCGACACCCACCAACTTGGTCTTCGTCCTGCGCATTTCCAACGGTCTCTTACATCGACAGTAAGAAGACCAGCATGCGGTATTATCATTGGCAGCAATCACTTTTGCTATACCGCAGATTATCTCGTATCATCGCAGTGTTTGCTTATTTATTTGTAGCGCATTAAGTCGCTGCTACTAAGCAGTCGGAAACCCAGCCACTTCCATGACCACTCCACAGATAAACATCCATATCAAGCTAAGATTCCGATATCTTTCAGTCTTTTGTGCAAATGATGGGTCTTTTGCGAGCAAAGATTTGCAGATAATGCAACTTGCAGTATCCTTATCGCCCTTGCTGCCCAATTTGTCCATCTTTTCCGTAAAAGAGTGATGTGTGTGGTTTGACAAATGAGATCTATGTAATTTACGTGACTTCCGACTTTGCTTCCTGCCACCTCGGCGATGAGAGCGTCGCGGTGTTACACGACAACTGACGTGAACTGTCGAATTCTAAAGCATCATATGTCGATTATTTGACGTAGAAAGTTTGATGGACAAGCTCAGTAGCTGCGATGGACAGATTGGGTCTTAATTCGTACATGTGTGTATCCAGCCAATCTGCAGCTCACAAAGCATGTCACCATCGCCTGGCTATTACCACAAAGCCTCATGTGTACCTTTGCACTGCTTCCTGTCTGCAAGCATCTGGCCTTTCCACTTGTCTACATAGGTGCATCGATGTGCGATACTCCTGCACAGATGAGTGCGCAGTCTAAGCTTAAATACATAAGCATATTTGCTAGTTTTGACTAATTCTTAAGCCACGCTTTTACAGGGTCACTCGTTTAATGTTGTGATGTGAAGAAGTGATGAGCGTTTACACAAATGGCGGCGGCACTGACGACGAGTTGTTATTATCCAAGTGCAAGCCCAACAAAAGGGCAAAGCTCTGACAAATACATGGTGCCTTCCGGTGGATACACAGCACATAAATGTCCATCTGATGCGTACACAACAATAAAGAGCAAGTGTCCCGGTAGCGAACATGGAAACATGAACCCCTAGTGAGAAAGTGGTGGCATGCTTGGAACTACTTCAACACTAGCGTTCCGATAAATGAAAGATTGTATCACGTCGCCACACAACCTATTGATGTTTTCATACAGTGATGGGACTGAATAGATCTTGTACATTTCGAAACGTAAGAAACGGATGAATGCGGCTCGATACGAAGGCAAATGGTGCTCGTGGCTGCAATCCTATAACGCGCGATGATGCTCGCGAGAGCATGCAGAGATCCTACGCATATGCTCTGGTAAGTATAGTTTTTGCTGCTTCACCACCGATGTCAATAGTCCAAAAGCGTAGTTCATGGTGGTAGGTCGCAAAAGTGTTGGCCGTATAGACACAGCCAGTTTGCGGGCAGCCTACCATCGCGCGCGGAGTTAAGTTCCTAAACGCTGCGTCCTTATAGTCTGAACTTGTACCAGAGAAATTATAAGCCTCACCGATGCATACGCAGCAATTCTACGCTCGCTCATCGGCGCGTTGTTTCGACGGTTGGCGGGCATCGATCGTTTGCGCCATCGATCTATAAACAACGAAAAAGGCACGCGATCATCCACTTCGCGAAGACGAAATTTGTGTGGCACTTCACAACAATACGCCAAGTCGTCCGCGAAGCACTTCGGGACAGCAAACTTACAGCTTGCGAGACTAGTGGCTGATCACACATCATTTAGAGGGTGAAGTTGATTCGAACATACCGACACTTTTAGAGCACCACTTAACCCCTGATCGCGCTCAACACAAGCGATAGAGCAGGTAGATTTGAGCATAAGACCAAAAGCTGGTCTCATCAAGTCATATGTGCACGGCTGGCCTTTAAAAGATGGTCATCTGTACGCAGAGAGTCGGAACTGAAAGCGGCGAACGATCTTCTCCTTGGTCCTGCAACAGGCATAAACGAGTTGACTGGTCGGAAGTGCCCACGGATACCGCTCAGCGTATTACTCTCCATTGAAAAGATCGATGTCAGGTCTCGTTCCTCACGATTCAAAACACGAGCTTTCGAATCTTCATCAAGACGGAGACTCAGAGCACGGCGCGTACCTGAAGTTAGCAGCCGGATCGCTTTTTCCACTGGCACTGATGGACCCATCACCATCATCATCGATATTCGCCAGCGATCGCGTACACTCAGGAACGTAAATTACACGACGTGGCTGCGTGTGCACATGACAATGCCACGGCTTCTGTAAAGGTCTTGCCAATTGCACTGACAACGGCAAATACTGTGCATTGCAGCGCACTTCGATTCGATCATGGTGTCGACGCGATAATCCGACTCGCTTGATTAGTTCTTGCGCCACTAACATAGACAGCTGTCGACGCATGGATCAACGAAAATGCTACCATCGCCGACAGCAAGTCCGTCTCTCATGTAGCTCAGCTTTCGCGCCATTGGCTCTGCGTCAACAAGCTGGCTGGAAAAAGGCAGCAATAGCCACGACATCTAGTCGCGAAGCGAAATAAAACATGCACCTGAGCCCGAACGCGAGTGACAACTTTTCCCTGCAGAGTGATGTCAGCAGGCTGGCGGGCAGCTGTGGCTGTACAAACGTGGCAGAACCAGGCGTTTTTCTCACCGCCTCTGCGTGCTGCTGTACAGTAGCGACGGAGAGAGCTGGACGCAAATCGGTCACTTTCGCACGTCCGAGAGCCAGCTCTGCGTAGAGAGACACTGACCGCTGGCATTTTCTTTGCAAAGCACGACCTTGCAAAAGCAAGACTACTATTCTTTTTTGTGCCATCTGATTGAGGTACGGTCTATCGTGCTTTGTGTGAGTTGGGTACACTCACGTCGAGCTGCTCGTAATGACCGTCGGGATGGACCATCTTCCACTCACGGTCGAGTGGACGAATGCCACACGCGTCAAGTGTAAGTGCGTCAATGTACATGCGATGCTTTTTGACGCTCATGTTAGGCTACTTACTGGCTAGCGCGGGCGACATGTTTTGTGATGACAGGGTAGACGGGTCCCAAGACCACATGGCTCAATTCTCTGACTCATCAAACCTGAATCTTTCCTGGTCATGGCGCATGGCAGTCAGGATGCTTCATGTAAGCGACACATTGGTGCTCATGTCTGGTGGCTGGGTCAGAAACGATCGATGGCTGCGTTGCTGATGCATGAGATTCGACACACGTGGGAGCACGTGGGATATGAAGATCACGCTAGGAGAGTTCTCATCACTGCATCGGCCATCAGAGAAAGTCGAGTCGCAACGACCCCGATTCGAAATTTCTTACAGTGTACGCCAATGACGCTAGCAGCGGCAACAGTATGGGCTGTCTGCTACAGCTAAACCAGCTTGCAAGCCAAGTAGAAGTTGCCAAGCTCGTAGTCCACGTGAGGTCCAGTCTGCAGTAAGCAGCCAACACGACAGACATGAGAAAAAATCAGATTGCTTCGTGTCTTCTGCTATCGCTTACAGCCTGCTCTTAGCTTGTCGTCTTTGTCGTTATGACTCCTTTTGCCACAGCATGATCCTTTGTGCGATGCAGAGAGCAAACATGCCTCTCAACTATCGTGCGGGTAAGACGGGATACTCCTTTCACTTTCATCTGCAGTGTGCATGACGATCCAATTTGTCAATACGCCTTGGCAGCGTGGCAGAGTGCACATGCTTTTGATCTCAGGCATGTATGTAGTAGCACGCGTGGTTGGCATACCAGCCTTCGTGCTGACCATTGCCGCTGAAAAGGAGAGCGTGCACGTTGCGAAGCTAAGCTTCATCAGATACGGAACAACATTGGCCTTGACGATCAAATTGATAATCACTTTGTTCTGCACACTTTCGAACGACTGACTACACTTGTGACAAACAATTGGCAAACTCAACTAGACAGCCCCCGTGCCAGCCCCACTCAACTCATCGTAGTGCGTCTGGCAGTAATTCTGCGTCCGTTCGTACGCGGGCTTGGAGCAGCTCGGCACTTGGCATCGCTTGCCACCTCCGTGAGCCCAGCAAAAGCCATGCGACACGGCAATCGTGTCGCACGTCTCGAACGAACACACAGTGCCTCCTCCATGGGACCAGCAAACGCCCTTGGACTTGGCGCGATTGATGCAATCCAGCATCTTGCACTTGACGGATCCGCCGTGTTTCCAACAGCGCTTTGCGTGTTTCGCACGGCTGCTGCAGCCTGCCACCGAGCAAAACTTGCTGCCTTTCCGCATAGGGGCTGCAGTTTTTTCCGACGTTGAAGACGCGACCGAACGCTTTCGTTTGGCGATCGTCGAACTGCTAACAACGTCGCCACTCTCGCTCGCTTCGTCTGCGTCGTTCTCCGAATCGGACGACGACAGGATAAACGAGAGAGCCGCCTTGTCCATGGCGTGGGCCTTATTGGGGAACGGGCACGCAGCTTCAGAGCCCAATTGTTGCTGCTGCTGCTGCATTGCAGCGGTGGTGGGGACCCGCGAGGCGGGGGATACCGTGGGCCCGACCGTGAGGTTGTGTAGTGATCTCGCGGAGGGAAAGCTGCCAGGTGTGACGACGCTGTTCAGCGTGTTCACGGCCGCCGCCGGCGGGTGCGATAGCGTCAGCTTGTCACGCACAGTCATTCGGCAAGAGAGGGACTGATCAATCAATCAATCGGTCGGTCGGTCGATCGATCGATCGATTGCTCAATCTTATGATGTACGCTCCGCGGGAGGAACGGACAGGCGCGCACCGAGCGTCTCTCTTGCAAAGCAACGAGAGGCGGTCGATAAATTTTCGTGTGTTTTTGGCTGGCTGCGGTCCAAAAGGTGGGAAGCGCAATGTCGTACGCACAGCGCAAATTGAGAAGTGACTTGATGTGTGATCGACCCAGTCTGACCTGCGTTCGAGCTCGGATTATGTCGCGGTGAAATGCACCGAAAGCTCCGCCTCCCTACAGCCGGGCAGCTCTCGTGCTCAGGTGAGACGTGAGTCGCTTAAACACAGCCGCAGACTGTCGCGCAGGCAGAAGAGAGGTGACGGACTGCGGCGGCTGCCTGCTTGCTTGCTGCTACCAAGTTGGTCGAAACGACGACGTGCTGGGAAAACAGCTTGCGGGCACTCACGCATGACGTTTGTCTCGAGGCGGAGGCGAATTGTCGATGCATTTTGAACGATTGCGTGGATCCATCTGCTTTCGGCTGGAAAGACGATCGAGAGCGCGACAAACGGTCTCCATCCACAGCCTTTTCAGGCCAGACGAAGACCCATCGCGCAGTGGTCGTCCTGCCGTGGTCATGAGGCCCGAGAAAAGACGGCCTTCTGTCCAGCCGTGACGACTATAGGCTTCAGCATGTAACTTCACACGTTGTCCATGGAGTGATTTCGCAACCAGCTCAGGTACAGCTTGAGCGCTTGGTCTCGCCGTTTCGTTGAAGACAGCGAGACGACATGCACGTTGGTAACAGCACAGGACCATTGCTGCGATAAAGCACACGACTTGGTGCCGCCAAGAGATGGACAATGACGAAAAGCGATGCTGCGCGATCGCCGACAGGCCCTGAACAAGCGTTTTGCTGTACCAGACCACCACAATCGTTGACCATAAGCGCACAAGTGCGTTGAGTACCATTGCTTTTGATCGACCCGTCGTGTGCAACACCAAGTGGTCGACATTCTACATCGATAGCGCGATAAGACACTAGCGCAGCCAGTGTAGGCTAGAGACGTACTGCAATGAACACCTCACTGCAATCCGTCGCGTTCGATCGTGATAGGACTTGCAACGAAGCTGAAGATCTGCTACGTTCGACTACCTGTCTCCACACGACAGTCGTAGTCCTGTTTGCTCGCGGTCGCTCTTCGGTTGTCGTCAGTATCAGGCGCAGCGTGCAATGCGTCACGTCCTCCGATCAGGCGATCACACAAGACTAGAGACTAAGGCTGCTACTGCCGCTGCGGTCGTCTGAAAACTGCCGCGTTGAGTCTTTCTCTGTCATGCAGCTGGCAGACCCTGCGCCTGTGCCTCGAAGCCTGACTCACGCATTTGAGTGACTTCAATAGGCAGTGGCTGCCCATCTGTTTGGTCTTTCCCCTTCGATGTCGCGCGCTTGTCTATCGTAACCGCGTACGGGCGATTCCAAGGAGCGCACCGGGATTCGACATTGACGGCAGCGTCCAAGTCGATATGAGATTGCTACATCTCCACTCCTACCGTAACGCAGGGGCCGAAAGCTACTGAGCTGAAGTGGGGTGACGGAGCTACTGAGCATATCTGTTGAACATGCTTGTGCGCACAGGTATGCTGGCAGGAGCTTAGGTTGTGATGCTGGACGGGAGCGCACAGGGAGTTGGACGCATGCACGGGCTTCAGCATACATGTGGCGCGAGCAGACCCCACAGGCGACAGAGCCATGACAGGTGTTCAAGCAACACCTCTGCGAGAACACGCTGACGAGGTGGGAGCACATGCATGCGAATGGAAAAGAGACTGTGCCATCGATTAAGCTGCGTTGCACTCGCGAGCTTGTGGGTGCAGTAGAATCGAGTCCGTTCCCACGTGCGGACGCCTTCATCGAAAGCAATACCAATGAGCGATGAGGAAGAGGTATGAGCACCTCTGAGCGGTAGCAAAGAGGGAGTACGGCCAGGTCGACACGAAAATGCAAGGACCGCGTCTGCAGTTGTGTTGAAGCAGAATAGCCAGAGAGTTAGTTATGAGAGCCGTCACCGAGTTGACAGGCTCAGTACGACCACCGAACTCGCACGGGAAGCCGGCGTTGGGGACTAGGCTTCGGATATCGCAGACATCCTGAGACGGTCAAAGATGTACTCGACACGGGTGTGCCTCGTTCTCTCTCAGTCTGTTCATGGCCTACGCCCTACCAAACACGCAACGCCATTTCCTTGAGAGTGATACAATGGTCATGCACTGAAGCATACCCTCCTACGCAGTCGCACTCATACAACGCGAGGCGCCAAACAGTGGCGTCTCGGTGCTTTAAAGGCCGTGCGTGGACTGACGTGGTCCTGCTACCGCCTTTGGCCGGGTCGTCATGTTGTGCGACGACTCAGTTACTACGCATCGATCGTCACGCTCGGATAGTCGTACGGCGTCCAGTAGCGCAAAAAAGAGCACAGTGTTATGGAGAAGGCAAGTGATTTGAACAGATAGAGAGTGTGTGTGTGTGACTGCTGCTATGACCTCGTTCGTCTCGCAGAACAGCGTCAAAACGCTGCGTCTACATGAGTACAAGAAGAGAGCCGTCTGCACATGCGCTCGATGCGACACCAGCGTACGAAGACAGGAGCGCTGGCACGGCAAGTGAGCGCCTGCAACCAAATCGCTTCGAGTCGCTCCCTCTCGACGACCTCCTACAGCGCAGCTGTCAAAGTCATCACGTGGTGGTTGGCGCGCGGTTTCGTGGCCGTCCACTTGTTCTACGATCTCCTCGGAGCTCTGGGACATGGATGTCGCCTGCGAGATACGTCTGCATGGGATGGTGATGCCCTGGAAGGAACGGGTTGCTCATCGATAGTGCGAACCAGACCGGGCCGACCGCGTCATCGCAAGATCGTGATTGCGCCGCGGTCCGGCTTTGCAATGCGACGCTATGCCACATTGCTCGCCCGCTGCGCAGCTGTGGGGGTCGTCGATGGTGGCGCCGACATGGATGAACCTCTCGTTCAGTGCAGTGTCGTGTCGTACGTACCCTCTAAGGACGTAGACACGCGCAGACTGAGTGGACGACTGGTTCCTCTCACAGGAACAGTGCCAAGTACAGAGCTCAGTCTGCGCTGGGGCGGAAATTTCCACTGCGACTGAGAAGATGTGACGCGACCGTCTGACGAGGAAGACTGGTTTCGCGTGTGTGTGTCGAACAGAATGGAGCAGACACGCCAGGCATGAGCTGGATCTCCGCTCTCGATACATTCAGAATGGTGCAAGACGTCTCAGATCCAGCGTTCAGGCAGATGGTTTCGACGCACTGAGCAGTCGTGCACTTGGCTTGCAGCCCTCGGTGAAGCAAAAGAACAGCAGAGGAGGCTCCTGTGCTTGCTGTCTCCTAGCGACTAATCGCTGCAGTCGCATACCAATGCTCTGCTTCGTGAGTTTCTTGTCCTCGTTGGTATCGAAAGTCGGCATTGGAATGAAGACGGCACGTGTCCTGTTGTTTCGTGCCCTTGTTGGCCGGTGTGCTTACGTCTTCGCGATCGAATCCCTATTCGTGTACGGTCTGCCGCAACTGTAGCATTGTCGTGCAAGGACGCAAATGTTTTGTTGAGAAAGCTGAACCTCTATTTAGTGGCCCAGGATGGGGTCATGAGTGTGCAAACAGGAAAACAAGTGGGTCCCCAACGACGGCGCTCTTTAGCAGAGCGTCTTGTGAGCCTGGCGACCGACGGAGCGGAAGGAACTTATGCGTCCCGTCACTTGTATCCAAAAAGTGGGGCGGTGAGCGGTGAAGACAAATGCACGAGCTGCGAGTCTCAATGACCATATTGTTTGCTGTACGAGCTGGCGAAGTCGCAATGTGGGGACAGTGATGTTGTCGGTGCAGGTCAACTGGAAAGTGGCGCGTCGATGTGGACGGCGTTGATCAGTGACAACATTGAGCTCTCGTCTGCAGCACCTGCTAGAAAGCAGACTGAAAACAGTCTTGCCGTCCAATTCACTGGTATACGTACACCGACCGCGCTTGCATCGTGTATCAAGATCGCAGCGAGCAATCACGTGGAGGACACTTTGCGAGACGTAACGCTCGCACGACCATGGATTCACAATGTGCGTTAGCGCTTCCTGTCCCACTTTCCCGATTGGAACGTTGTCAGCCGCAGCCAAGTCCCACAGTTTCGTATCCTCACCACTCGTTTGTCATGACGGAGAGCCTGATACAGAATGCAACTCCGTCGCGAACCTCATCTCCTTCTGGCCAACGTGGGCAGCTGGAAACCGTACGCATGCCGACGCAGAGCAGAAGGGTCTCGCTTTTTTTCTTTGACGCCAGGCCGTAAACCGCATCAGTGCTTCCCATCTTCCGTCTGCGGCACCAGTCCCACCGCCACAGCATCTGCTACTGCATTTTCGGTTGCGGGCAAGCCTGGACATGCCCAGCTCTTCAGTGATCGCACTGTCGTCGGCTAGTACGGATACGGCCCGTCGACTGCTTTGCCGTGACGAGTGCTCTTGTGTCGAACAGGGGTTCCCTAGCTTGGTACATCACTATTTGAAGCTGTACAGCTGTATATCGCATTCTGCTGCACGGCCTCACGTACTCCCGACCTAGCTAGTGAAGATCTGAACGCCTGTGGACGTGACGCAGCAAGTTGTGAGGGCTATTGGTGTGCCGAGTGGTGACAGAGCGACATGGCGAAGACCGGAGTATGCCAAGGTACGAACTGTTGTCTCGGTGGTTTTATGATTCTTGAAAGTCAATGACGCATGTTCTTCAGTTCAGTACGCTCATTATCGGGGACGAAGTTGTGATTGGACTCTCCCAAGTACGACCGCATACAAAGAGATCGACGTGCTTCGTGTAGGGTTCGCTATCGTGACTGACGAGCACATGCCACCGCTTCTCACGGTCATCGGGCTGGCGCAGTTCCGAAAAGTCCTGAACCATCATACCCCACTATTCCTGTA